CATCATTTTCTCGTGTCAACTGTTGAAAAACCATCCGACCAATTTCAATGCAAATTCGATTTTATACTACTTAAGAGGGTCTTCTTTGCGCATAAAAAGGCCTAAAGCCATAACAAAAAAAGAAATATGTCCAGGAGATTTCCGCGTGGCTTGGTCATTTTTTTGCACCGCGATTTCTTCTTTTTCCATATAAATTTCGGAAAAAACATCATTTTCACGAGCGTACCGTTCAAAAACCATTTGACCAATTCCAATGAAAATTCGATTTTGTACATCTTAAGAGAGTCTTCTTTGCGCATAAAAAGGCCTAACGCCCTAACAAAAGAAATATGTCCAGGAGATTTCCGCGTGGCTTGGTCATTTTTTTGCACCGCAATTTGTTCTTTATCTATATAAAGTTCGGAAAAAAACATCATTTTCACGAGCGTACCTTCCAAAAACCTTTGACCAATTCCAATGCAAATTCGATTTTGTACAACTTAAGAGGGTCTTCTTTGAGCATAAAAAAAGGCCTAAAGCTCTAACCCAAGTAATATGTCCAGGAGATTTCCGCGTGGCTTGGTCATTTTTCTGCACTGCGATTTCTTCTTTCTCCTTATAAATTTCGGGAAAAACAGCATTTTCACGAGCGTACTTTACAAAAACCATTTGACCAATTCCAATGCAAATTCGATTTTGTACATCTTAAAAGAGTCTTCTTTGTGTATAAAAAGGCCTCAAGCCATAACCCAAGTAATATCGATGCCCAGGAGATTTCGCGTGGCTTGGTCATTTTTTTGAACCGCTATCTTTTCTTTATCTATATAAATTTCGGAAAAAACATCATTTTCACGAGCGTACCGTTCAAAAATCATTTGACCAATTCCGATGAAAATTCGATTTTGTACAACTTATGAGGGTCTCCTTTGCGCATAAAAAGGCCTAAAGCCCTAACCCAAGTAATATGTCCAGGAGATTTCCGCGTGGCTAGGTCTTTTTTTAACGGCGATTTGTTCTTTCTCTATATAAATTTCGGGAGAATAAAAACAACATCAATTTCACGAGCCTACCGTTCAAAAATCATTAGACCAATTCCGTTGCAAATTTGATTCTGTACAACTATGGAGGGTCTTCTTTACATGTTTTAGGTTTTAAAGCCCTAACCCAAGGAACATGTCCGGGAGATTTCCGCATGGCTTGGTCATTTTTGCACCGGCGATTTGTTCTTTCTCTATGTAAATTTCGGGAAAAACATCATTTTCACGAGCCTACCGTTCAAAAACCGTTTGATCAATTCCCTTGCAAATTTTATTTTAGTACAACTATCGAAAGTTTACTTTACATATTTTAAGTTTTAAAGCCCTAACCCAAGAAACATGTCCAGGAGATTTTCGCATGGCTAGGTCATTTTCCGGCGATTTCCTCTTTCCTCAAAATTTTACAATCTCGTGTTTGCATTGAAATCGGATAAATGGTGTTTAAACAGTTGGCTATGGAATTTGGTGGATTTCTGAAAATTTATACATTTTATATACAGAAAAAAATCAGCAGTTCAAAAACGACCATGCCATGCGGAAATCTCCCGGCTATATTTCTTGAGTAAGGGTATTTGGCTTTATATTGTGCAAAGAAGATCCTCCAAACTTGTACAAAATTGAGCCCGCATTGGAATCAGAGAAATGGTGTTTAAACGGTCGACTCAAGAAAATGGTGATTTTTGTTCAAAATGAATACAATTTATAATTATACAGAAACAACAAATCTCCGGTCCAAAGAGCAACCACGCCATGTGAAAATGTCCCGGACATATGTCTTGGGTAAGGACTTTGGGTTTTGTATTGTGCAAAGAAATCCTTCCAAAGTTGTACAAAATTGAATCGCAATGGCATCAGACAATTGCTTTTTAAACAGTTGGCTCAAGAAAATGGTGATTTTTTTTTCGAAAATGTACACCATTTACAGAAAGAGCAAATAGCAACCATTTTACAGGGACCTCTTGCTATTACTTTTCTTGCGGTACATAGAGCTTTGAGCCTTTACCTTGCTTTGAAGAAGATCATCTAAATATAGAATATATATCATTTTTATAGAGTATTGAAATAATGTAAATCTCAATTAAAGAATGCTGTTGTCTCTAAGATGTTGCTTTTTAGTTGATTTACGGTAATAGAGAGACAAATAGCAAGACGGTCCAAAAACGACCATGCCACGAGGAAATATGTAGGCCATGTTGCTTAAATTGGGTTAGAGCTATATGCCTTATATTGTGCACAGAAGACTCTCCAAACTTGTATCATATCGATTCTTCATTGGAATCAGGCAAATGGTGTTAAACTGTTGGCTCGCGAGAATGGTGTTTTGAAGATCATCTGAACTGATATAATGAACTTGATAATTACTTTTTTAATTACGTAGCGTTCATTTTAACACAACTAATTGTGCATGACAACAATTCCTCGAAGAAATTTCTCTAAATTGCATTTTTTACACAATACTAGTATTCGTAGTCCTTCTACTCAAACATATTATATACATATTTTTAGAAATATAAACTTCATAGCCCTAGTCCGAGTATACCATCCGTGAAATCTCAGCATGACATGCTCCTTTTTAAATTCGGCGATTTGTTCTATCAGTATATAAAGTGTAAAAAAACATATTATTCATAGTCCAACCAATTAAACACCGTTTGCCTCATTTCGTTGCAGATTCTGTTTTGTACAAATTTGATCGAGTAACTACTTTACAAAAATATAAGCTTCATAGCCCTAACCCGAGTATAACATCTGTGAAATCTCCGAGTGGCATGATCGTTTTTAATGCATATATATGACTGGCGATTTTTTTTTCTGTATATTAAGTGTATGAATTTTCGTAAAAAAACACAATATTCTAGCCAAACTACTTAATCACCGTTGTGGATTCGATTTTGTACAAATCTTAGCTATTTAATTACCTTGTTGTAAATCTTACATCCGAAGCAATCAAAACCTTTACATTTTCAACCATTTTTTGGCGAAGTTGCAGTTTTCAGCCGGCGTGCATGAGGTGCATCTTTTACTGAATCCACACCACTTTAAAATTTCTTACACCACCACTTACAGATGAAAATAAAAAAGAGTTCAGTGTTCCCATAGACACGACATATTTCATTAAATATGTCTTTCGCATGCATACCATGTGCATAATTATATAGTTCAATGATATAATGATGCACATCCGAACGACAAACAGTGATGTTATCAAGCGATAAAAGCGAAAACTGACGGGCCAAAAACTACTATGCCAGGACATATTGCTTGAGTTAGGGCTTTGTGCTGTAAATATTGTTTACAGAAGACCCACCGAACTGGTACAAAGTCGAATCCGCAATTGAGTTAGACTAATCGTTTTTAAACGGTGGGCTCAGGAAAATAGTGTTGTTTACACAATTTATATACATAAACTCAAAGAACAATTCGCAGGAACAAAAAATAGTTCAGTGTTCCCATAGAAACGACATATTTCATTAAATATGTCTTTCGCATGCATACCATGTACATATATAGTTCAATATGATATAATGATGCGCATCCGAACAACAAACAGTGATGTTTTCAAGCGATAAAAGCGAAAACTGACGGGCCATAAACTACTATGCCACGCGGAAATCTCTAGGACATATTGCTTGAGTTAGGGCTTTGAGCTTTATATTGTGCACAGAAGACCCTCCAAACTATAAAATCACTGGTGTTTTGGAGATTACATGTATATATATTATTTCGATTCTAACCACAAAATTTAAAATCAACAAATAATAATTGCTGCCGTACCTGATATTAACCTATATTGGGCCTGATTTGTTTCCGTAGATATCAAAATATTTAAAAATACATTTTTTAAAAACATAATTTATTACCAAAATTTCATCAAAATGCTTATTAAAATCTTTTAAAACTTTTTAAAACAGCATTTTCTTCCCTGTAAACAGAAAAGTTTAACAAGTTTTTTCTTCTATTCTTACAAAAGAATATTCAAAGTATTTTGATTTTCAGTAATTTACTAAAATATTTACGAAGTCCTGTTAAAAAATCAACACAAAAGGTTTTAAAAAAGAAATTTTTATCCCCCAAAAGTTTTATTCATTAAAATTTCTTTTTTTGGGATAAAAGAATCCCCTTTTCTAAGTTTAATTATGGGGGGCGTACATTTTGAATTTAAAAAATAATAGACAATGGAAAAGAAAGATTAAAATAATTTCAAAAACCCCAAAAGGAAACTTTGTACATTTGTAATTAAGGTTTTTTCTCCCAAAAAAAATCCCTTGTTAAATGAAAACCTAGTTTTAGGAAAACCTAGATCGCTTAAATTATTTAACACCATCTGTTGCAACAGTAATATCATCAAAATTATCATCCGAGATATATTTATCATAGACAGTGGAATCGGTAAGAACTCCTGATCTCGCATTGAGGTCACCAACTATACAAAACTGACAATTAGCATATTTAACACTTAAATCAAGAATGGTATTTTCTAAACTATCAAACAAGTCAGTAGATGATCCATACCTAGATCCTTCAGGTGGTATATAGGTATTGATAAATATCAGCGCGTCACAATTTTAGTGGTTACGTCACGTGAATAATGATTACGTCACATGTTTAAATATAGAACGTCAAACTGTGATTTTATTGAATAATAATACACTTTCGGTTCTTCTACATGTATGTTTAATGGGGGGAAAACGGGTCGTATTAGAATTGCAGGTTAAGTGCATAGTGTTTATTCATGCAAAATTACTAAAATAGACAATGGTCATAAAGTGATTTTTAAAGCAATGATAAGAATATTCACAATTAAGACCATCCGCAGTTAAGGCCATGCACTTTGGTCCAGTCCCGATTGTGGTCTTAATTGAGGGGATTTTACTCTATTTAAAATTTACATCATTGTTATTACGTTATTTGTTTTTCGGATCATATTTCACAAGTTAGTGAATCAATGCATTGTTATCCGACTGATAGCCTAATTAACTTATTGTATGAATCAGCGAGATGGAAAATATTTAGTAGCGTAAAACCATTCACTAATTGCCACGAAAACGAAACTAGGATAATCATACATTATATGTCTAATATCGAAACACTGAAGACCACGGCTTTTAAAGACAGGTTGTATACGTTATTATTATTAAACTATATAAATGATCATGTTTAAGCTGATGAATATGTAAAGCTTACTTTGTTGTGTAACGATGTTTGTATTGTTGCATTATCGTAATAAATCCGTCCCCAAAAAGAACGTACCCAACTATTAATTTGTTTAAATGTTTTTGTTTACATTGCTTAAACCACTGAGAAGATTAAAAATAAAGAACTAAATAACTTTAATAAAAATAACTACTATTTTGAGAAGACATTTACGACATTACTTAAGTATGCACTGAAGCTCACTATTTTGTTTTGGTTTAGAAAATTGATATTTGAATAAGACTGTTTAATGATGTTAAAAAGGATAGAGTAGACACATTATATTGTACAAATTTATGTATGGGCAATATCTCCCCAGAACAAACATATCTTAGGCTCTGAATCTAGCTTTTGCCATCAATATATTTGGACTAATGTACCATCAAAATGATAAAGCATCATAAAATATAGTCAGTATTATTGTGACAAGTCCTACTAATTAGACTTGTCAAACTTTTAAGAGACATCAAGACACTTTATTTTTTGTCTGGGTGATGATGTTTTGACAGGCTGTAAAATGGGTTAAACTAGTTCAGTAGTTTAGTTCATGCCAAATTTATTTGGCTATATATCGTATAATCATAATTATAGGGTTCACATTGATCAAACTTTGACTTTTAAACGTTTTTAAATATATACTTACATAACAAAATTATCCTGATATTTATGCAATAGAAAAAGAAATGCCTACTTTATACCACATAACCTGCGACAGATAAGAAATATAGTGTTATTTTGTTTGTTTTTAGTTCAAGTGTAATAAGTTAATATTTATCTTCATCTACAGTGTACGTATTCTATATATCTATATTTGAAGCAGTTGTATGTTTGTTGGTCACTCATTCACAGACACACAGAGACTTAAGGATAAACAGGAAAAACAAATATAAAGTTTGAGTCTAGTCAGGGACAACGCTATTAAATTTCTTTGAGCACGAAATTTACTCACTTACAAATTCATATTAATTGCTTCATTAATTCAGGTTTAAAAGGGTATCTGAATGGGTATCTTAGTGGTCAATATAAGTTTGTGCTGCCATTAGCAGAGTGAAAGATTTCTCAAGAAAATCATTGATGGATTTTAGCAGGGTAACAACCAAGGGCAAAATCTTACAAGTCGGTTAGCAAGGCTTATGCATGACATTTAAACTATGATACTATAGAAATGTAATTACTTCTTACATATGGTTGCAAACACAGTTGATCTAGATAGATACCTGCTCAAATATTTACAGTTATACATAATAATGAATGTCGAACCTGGTATATTATTTACATGTATATGCAGGGATAACTTGACAGGGCAACTTGTTATCTTTGCAGTGCTTATATAATTATATACATGTAGGCTGCCCAACCCTGGAGATGGGCAGATACTTTACCTTTTATTTGTTGCTGCCATGTCAATGTGGTGGTTGTATATGAATTTTGGTGCAGCATTAAAATGGCTAGGGTTATGGCCAAATATCAGTGCCCAAGAGCTTTTAGCATAGATTTTAAACTCGGGACGGGTGCCTGGATGTAGTTCATGCTATCACCAAGTTTTGGAGGTGTCATGATTATAAGTGACTTGTGCAATAGTGTGATGGAGCCAAAGAATGTTTAGATATGATAATCTTTCATCACAACACGATCAGTGACAGTAAAAAAAAGTTATTAGATATCTTTCTGAATTCATAGGGAAAGATTCATTGTAAAAGGTATATAAAAAAATATTTGCTACACAAACTACAAACAGGCATGTCATTGCATGGTTTTGAATGATTTTGTTGGCTTACAATAATAAACATAAAATAAGTGTAATAAACATTAAATTTTTCAAAGCTGTAAGCGTGATGAATTATGTTTGTATGTACATTGTACATATCATGATGCTAAAATTATACATGCATAATGTTCATATTACTTGTTTTATAAATGTATGTATAAATGTCACTAAGTATATTAATGAGTTATTTAACCAGATTAGGTGATAAATTTGAATAAGAACAGAAAAAAAACCAGCTAAATGCATTTGTATCAAGTGTAATTGACTGTTTTCACTGAATTTGCCATCTTACATTGAATTTGATCAGTGAATTTTATTTTTCCTATTGAAGTCCTCTGCATTGAACTACAGGTTTTGAGACGTACTGTTCTTGGAACATATTGTTCTTGATGTGATGAACCATGCCCAGAATGTCTTCATTCTGAAACTTAAATCCTGCAATCAATAAATCATGGACACAAAACACAATTTATAGATCTCAAGAGCTTTATATTGACCTACTCAGATATATGACCTTGACATACTAAAAAACTTGTATGACCTTGACATACTAAAATATGACCCTGAATTGATGTTAAAGGTCAAATTCATGAAATTTCACCATTTCTTTGTGTTTCATTTAAAGATTTTTAGGCACTGATTTATTTACTTTTTAATAATTCATGTTCATTTTTCATTCTAGGTTATGCTGTATGAAGTATGTCACCCTAGTGAGAGTGTTGTGCCTTGGTTCCGTTGTTTTTCTGGCAGCTTACATTTTAACTGGAGAGACATGGGGTAGACAACAACAAGAGAAAAAAATACCAGATCCAGCCCATAAAAAAACCTCAGAGAACTCTCTTATTTGGGCTGTTCATATAAAAACACATGACAAAGACAACATTGATAGAATAGCCAGTGACCTTGACCTGATAAATCTAGGTCAGGTTGGTGAATTACATCATCATTATTTATTTGCTCACAAATTACATCGTAATTTCTCAGGAAGTAAAACTGTATCAACAGTTCATTTGCATCATTTAAAACTTCATAGTGGCCAGAAAATTGCCAAAAAGGTTGAGGAGACAGAAAACAAGTTAGTAAAACATGAGGATATTGAATGGTTTTCTCATCAGAAATTGCTGTCACGTGGAAAACGGTTCTTGACATATGATTTACCATTCATGGACTTTGAAGATCCATTTTACAGAAAACAGTGGCATTTGGTAAGTTAAAATTTGTCAAAATCATATTAATTTAATATGCCCTCTTTTTAAGTCCTGATTATATCATGTATGTCACATGTAATGGGCTATTAGTAGCAAGCCCAAAGCAAAGGCGTGTGTTTTTGATATTTTTTTAATTGAAAAAATATAAAATGAAAAGTGGTCAAATGATAAGAGATACATTTGTATCTTATGTTATTTCGATTCAGATCCTCACTGTTACAGGTTCAAATCTTGTAAGGGACTTTGGATTCTACATGTTCTATATTTTGGGTACACTATCTTGCAGCTAGCATATGGAACGTTGGTGGTTCTACTTGTGTGCTTGCTCATGTCTCATGTAACACATAAAGTAAAACATGAAGACTTTTTTCATCAGAAAGGCTGGAAAGTCGCCACATATGACCTTTACAGTGTTGATTGTCACTTAAAACCAAACAAAATATAAAAATAAACTGATACAATTTTTTTTTAAATGTATTTCATGTTCTTACAGGATTGTTTAGCATTTGTCAGGGCAAATTGTTTGTAATTTCAGACAAATACATATGAACTTGGTATGGATATAAATGTAACTGGGGTATGGAAACACAACATCACAGGGTCAGGGGTCACCGTGGCTGTGGTAGATGATGGTAAATACTGTTCCATGATTAATACAAAATAGTATAATTTAGTTATTTTAGCAGACTAAGAATTTCTTTTGTTATCAGGTTTGGTTTACTTTGTACACGGAAATTTTGATATATTTGTCGTGATGTTCACAATATTTTGAATCAGCCTGGTTGACTTGGTATACACAAAGAACACATAGTTTTGTTTGTGAACTGTCTATGAGCTATTGACCTGGCATTGAACATTAAAGACAGGGCTAAATTTCACTCTGATAAAAACTGGAAATGTCTATTGCTTTGAACCTTGAAATGTTGGTTAATGACATTACCGTATACACTGTTTGTATATAAGAGAACATAACTGTTCATGTCTTTAGACAAAATTATGCCCTTTGTTAAATCTTTATTCAAACATCTTTTTTATCAACTTCACTATTCTGTAGACAGGTATTGAATGATTTGCAAAGTCAGTATATACACAAATAAATAAATGTTCATGTAGTATCATTTATCTGTATATGATTTTACGGTATACCTGAAAAGTTCAGTCACGTTTTAAATTACTTAAGTAAATAAAAGATTCCTAAAGCATTTTTGATTAAAAAAAAAAACAACAGATTTTCTTTCTTTGGTATTAAATTTCTGACCTCATTTTATTTTTTTTTAAGTTTATTTTTTCAACATAGGATTTGTTTGTTAAATTGTAGGTTTGGAATGGAACAATCCAGATTTGTTGGAAAATTATAATAAGGAGGGTAGTTACGATCTAAACAATGGGGATAGAGATCCTTCACCTAATACCAAAAACCGTAAGTTATTTGTTACTGAACATGTTCTACATTTCTCATATGTAACTCACTGCTGAGAAGTTTTTCTGAGGATATATGCTTGATGTTATTCATATAGAAAAATTGCCCTTCTGTTCTTCTTGTGGTGGGTTAAAAATGTGAAAAGGCAAAAACCTGAAAACCAACCCAACTACAGCATTTTAGGTGTCATGTTTTCAACTTCTGTTTGTTATGAATTCACCTTTAAGTTTGTGGAGTGAAAGGAAAAGACTACGACAGTCTTCAGTGTTTGTTTTTTTGACCTTTCACCTTTTCAACCCTTACAACATGTCATAAATCTGCCTCATATTACAAAGATGTGAGATGATGGGGAAACAGTGATGTCACAGTTATAATCTGTAATTCTTCAGGTAACCTGTTTCTCATGTGTTCATGTTCCTAGTGAGATTCTGAGATATGTTGTATCCTAAGAAAACTTGAGAAATAAGATTTGCTACCATCTTGAACCTTTAAGTGTGGCTGAGGGGTTAAGGTTTTCAAATTCAAAACATTTGCCCCTTAACCGCTGTGAGTTCGAATCCATGGACTTTGGATTCTTTCATGTGAAAATGCTAGCTAGCTTACAGAATTACAGTGGTCCTACTCAGGTACCCATTCATGCCTGAAACCAGTCAAACTGGAAAGTTGCCATGTGACTTAAACTGTGTTGGTGTGACCCAACCAAAAAAAAAAAAAACCTTGAATTAAGAAAAGTGAGTGTTTGTGTCACTTAAAACACAATAATGAAAAAAAAGCCATCCCATCACTGGACGGTTGTGAAACAGATAGTTTGTTTTAATTGATGAGAGTGTAACACTTACTTCAGTGCCATATTGCTTGCTGCTTTATATCATCCTGTGCTCTCGAGCTTGAATCACTTGGCAAGATCAATATCCTAATATAAACACATTGGTTTTCTTTCAAAATAAAATCTGATCATACTGTCTTGTAGTAGCTTTACAATAGTCAAAATAAAAATGAAAAAAAAAATGTGCTAGATAATTTGATTTGTATAATTAATGATATATTTTAAATATTTGTGTTTATTTATAGAGAAGAATCATCATGGAACACGTTGTGCGGGTGAGATCTCTGCCATACCAAATAAAGTATGTGGTGTCGGTGTAGCCTTCCGCTCTAAAATCTCAGGTTTGATAAATGTATTTCATATATAACTTACATTATAAAATATGATCATTTTGAATGTCTTACACATACAGTGTATTACTCAAGATAAAGTATGATCATTTTTGTGTCGCCTTGAAAAGTCGACATATAGGGATTACTTTGGTTAGTGGCCGCGGCAACTTCGGTGGGGGTGTCCCCTTAGGCTTGTCCAGAGCATAAATCAGTCACTATAAGACTGATTGACTCCAAACTTGATTTGCATGCTTCTTTCAATGACTTGACTCACAAAGTTCTAGTGCATTATACTTGCAATTTATAATTTACATTGTTCATGAAAAAACTGTTATAGGCTTTAAAAATGCTCAAGACATAGAGCAAGACTCTATATGTTATTGCTATGAGAAAAAGTTCATTAGACAGTTCATTATGAACTTTCATCTTAATTAAGATACAATAGATATGATTAAAAAATTCTGACACATTCTGGCATAAACATATTATAAATTCATGTAAATATTTTGTTTATGTTAGGATTAAAGCTTCTAGATGGACCTCTAACAGACAGTATGGAAGCTGATGCCTTCACAAAGTTCTTCCAGATCAATGATATTTATAGTTGCAGGTAAGAACTATGAAATCAAACAAGTATAGCAATTTCTGTCAGCCAGTCAAACAAACTGCTATTTCAGGTGTTTTTAAGTGACACTCTATAATTATGATTTATCAAGGCATTCCCCTCATCCCACTGAACATCTCCCATCCCCCCACAATAATTTTCTAGCAAGTTTTTTCCCCCAAGAAAGTTAAAACAACATCAAAAAAAGCAACAATTTAAGTCAGTTTTGTCTAATCCATTTGAACTATTCATTTATAGTTCATTAAAGAACATTTTAAATTACATTAGAAAAGAATACTATCAACGTCAAAATTTAAATTTGGTCACAAAAATGATCAAAAATCAAACAAGACGTTTTTTGTTTTGGTCTGAGATCAAGAAGTATTTTTTTATTCATTTCTGATACAGAATATACATCTAGCTTACGATAATGTGCTACCTATAAAAAAACATCATTGTTGATAATTTGGAGAAATTATATTATCACATAAACCGCGGCGCAGGAGTGTAATAAAGCCATTTAATAAAAACGATATTACACTAGACGATATTACACTAGTGTAATAACACTTTGACGTCACGTCATTTGCACTATAAGCATAGCGTTAAAGCGCGCTAATGTTAGCGCTACACTATAGGCGCGTCAAAGAAAAATGACTCTTGTTAACAGTTTACCGTTCTTATTTTATATATGTGATAAAAAGAATATTATATTCGTGTAGATTCAATACTAAATTTATTGAACTCGTTCAATGAAACAATATTATGCTCGCCAGAGGCTTGCATAATATGATTTTATTCAACTCGTTCAAACCTACACTCATTCAATATCCTCTATTTATTTAACGTTTATTTATTTGTTACAGTTGGGGCCCAGATGATGATGGGAAGACAGTGGACGGGCCTCATGTATTGGCTGCTGTAAGTGTTGTGATATATACCCTTAAAGATAACAGAATCTGATTTTAATACAGTGTTCCTGGTCAGGGACTTTCATTTTCTTTCATGCTAAATTGGTTTCCAGCTAGTTTATTGAAGGTTGGTTGTTTTACTGTGAGTGCCTGACCATGCCCGATATAATTAATTAATGCATTGAGGCACATGTAAATTTCTTCTTTTCCACCATCTGTTGGGATGCAAATTTCACCATAATTTTTCATCATAAAGAGTGACCCACTCTTGCTATGAATTGAATGTAACAGGTAAATTCTAATGGATATTTACAGAAGTTTCCTTGGGTCATGTGAGTTAATCATTATTAATGTGTACTAAATTATAGAATTGAATGGAATTATGGCAAAATGTAAACTTATTTTGACTTTCACTTGTTCACACACTGTAATAGATTTCTATATCCTTGGATGGGCATAATGTCACTTAAAGAGAACCACGGATAAGTAAATCTTGATTCTTATGATGATCATTGAACTGTCTACATTTTCTTGTATAGGCTGGTATGAAACATGGCATCGACTTTGGACGTGGTGGTTATGGTAGTATATACGTGGTTGCCAGTGGCAATGGAGGTCATGAGGGAGACAACTGTAACTATGACGGTTATGCAAACTCACTTTATACAGTAACTATAGGTAGGTAGAGGAATTTATTTTCAGACTTGTTGTTTGAATTGGGTTTAAAGTTGATTGATTGAATGGATGTATAAATTGTGAAAAATCATATTGTAATGGAAAGCAGTGGTGAAGTGGTTACTTGTAGCACATGCAGTGGGCCACCAAAAGAATTTCAGTTCAGTTAAAAAAAGGAACACTGGAAACTTAATAGCAAGAAAATTTACATCTAGCATAACTTCTTACTACTCATTTCTGATAGGTTACCTAAAGGAAATTATTATTCTGTGGTGTCATAATGCCGGCTGCTATAATCTGAGTAAGATTGATAAATGTCAATATGAAACATATATAAAGAGGTGTTCTTTGAGGTATTGTTGAGAGCTCCTTTATGGCATACAGTGCAACCTGTGCAGATTGGCCACTCTGTAGAGCAATAGCCTTTATACAGCAACAGTCAAAATTCTTCTGAAAGCAACTATTTCCTAGTTATTTAACCTGTCAAGAACAACGGCTTTCAGCAACAATCATTACCTTTGTCTCCTCTATGGTATTGCTCTGCTGAGAGTTGTATTGGTATTGAACTGTCCAGATAAAATTTTCAAAATTCCGGTAATTTTACACTGACTTTGTATGACTTTGTAATCTTTGTTTACTTTGCATGTTTGTTATGATGATGTTGTGTTTATGAACTAAATATGTAATGGGTTCATTTAACATTAACATTTTTGTATTTATTGTATAAAGGAGCTGTAGATGAGACAGGACATATGCCTTACTACTCAGAGGAGTGTGCCTCCATGTTGGCTGTTACATTTAGTAGTGGATCATGGGGGCAAACTAGAGATATTGTAAGCTGAGTTATATTAATATATGCGAATAATTGAGTTAAAAAATGTTATTATAATATTATTGTCAAAATTTAAAATTAAGAGCATATTTTTTCGTTTGAGTGAAATATGGAATATATTTTCACGAAACATGATAAAATGCCACATATTTACAGGAGCCGGGATGGCGAGTGAAAATATGTGGCATTTTATCATGTTGAGTGAAAATATATACCATATTTCACGACAAACGAAAAAATAACCTTTTTATTTAATTTCATAATCAAAGCAAAATGGTTACGAACCCCCTTGCTTGCTACGCAACTGCAATTGTACAGCATGCAGTAATATAATTATTGTCTTGTTTTGCACACAATATTTAGGGCTACATTGTGATGTCACATAAACAACTCTTTAAACATCTGTACAGTGTTAACGACTGAATTAAAGATATTGGTGTTCGGATTTATATTTTTAGTTAAACCATTTTCTATCATTCTAGATAATTTTCAAATCAAAATTCAACAAAAAGTTGTAATTTATTCATCAAATTTTATAAACAAAATGGCGAAAGAAGTCCCCTAAAATAAATATGAGTTTTGACTCCGCCCACTTCCATATTTATATTTCATATTTATTTTTTACAAATATGAAATATATTTGACTGATATAGCACCATATTTCATGGGTAAAATTAAATAATTTGTTAAAACTTTTATTTACGTATTTTTAATTGAAAATAATGAAAACATTTTTGGCTCTACTCATATATTTATAAGAAATTATTATCATGGTCAAAGGGAAACAACTCCAATACAGATTATTTAACAAGATGAGAAAAAAAAATTGTACAAAAATTTGTTCTGTCAATTGAAATATGTTTGTGATATCAGAAAGACAATGTGAGGTTGGAAATTTATTTTTATTTAAAATTGTAGGTATATTTGATATACAAATGTAATATTTTTTCTGTAAGAGATAAAAAAAGTTTAAAATGGGGGTTTCTGAGAAAAGTTGAAAATGATTAGAAAGTGAAACTGTTATTTTGTTATGAATTTATTCTTATTAAAAATAACTTTAACTTCTCTTGCTTTGAATTTTGGACATTCCATTGTTGATTAAAGGGTTTTTAACCAGGTTTTCCGAAGGAAAAAACTGGTTATTAGATTGAGGTATGTCGGCGGACTGGCGGGCGGGCGTAAACAATTTCTTCTGTGCGCAACTCCTTCTACATTTTTCAACAGATTTTGACCAAACTTTCACAGAAGCTTTGTCATCAAGTGACCTGGCGCATATTGTCGGGGTTTTGTGATTGGATAATATTTGACCTAATTATGGCCCTTTGTTTTTTTTCCTTATATAGAATATATAGTAAATAATTTCTTCTGTGCTCAACTGTTCCTACATTTCTCAATGGATTTTGACCAAACTTTCACAGAGGCTTTGTAATCAAGTGCCCTGGAGCATATTGTCGGGGTTTTGTGATTGGATAATATTTGACCTAATTATGGCCCTTTGTTTTTTTTCCCAATATAGGATATATAGTGAACAATTTTCTGTGCGCAACTTCTCCTACCTTTCTCAACAGATTTTGACCAAACTTTCACAGAAGCTTTGTTATCAAGTGCCCTGGCACACATTATCGGGGTTTTGTGATTGGATAATATTTGACCTAATTATGGCCCTTTGTTATTTTTCCTTATACAGAATATATAGTGAAAAAATTCTTCTGTGCGGAACTCCTACATTTCTCAACGGATTTTGTTCAAACTTTTACAGTAGCTTTGTCATCCAGTGCCCTGGCGCATATTGTCGGGGTTTTGTGATTGAATAATTTTTTATTTAATTATGGCCCTTTTTTTCCTTATACAGAATATAATTATAGTGAACACTTCCTCTGTGGCAATTCCTCCTACATTATTCATGTTTTACATTGCACATAGTTACATTGTTTGTTGCTTGTATTTGTATTTCAAATACAACATATTTATCTACAATGGTGATAATTGAAAACCTGGTTTCATGGCATTGCCATGTTTCTTGTTTATTTTTAAGATCCTAAAATTTAGCAGCCATCAGTATATAGTGATTGGTCAGTTACATATTATAACTTAAGAGTTTTGTGAAAGCTTCATTCACATCTTTTTGAATTTGTTATTGAAAAGTATTTTGAGCTTTTAAATCGCTCATACTCAAAGTAACCCTTAATTAGCTTAAACCGTAAGTGATCAGTCTTTGCCATTAGAGGTAGGTCAGCCTGTCTGACCAGATTCTTTACTATTAGTAGCTTAATTTTTGTATTTTTATTTTTAAATCCCTTTAACTTTGAATGGATTGTTCCAAATTGTTTGCAGAGCAAAACTGTTACATGAATTCAGCTGGTAAAGGGTTAGACAGAACTAAATTCAAAGTTGGACAATTCCAATAATGAAAAGCTTGACTTTAAATTCAGTTTTCCTGAAAAAAGTATACTAATATTATACTATAGGTAACAACAGACTGGTTGGCACACAAGGAGTCAGTGCGAGGATGTACGGAACATCACAGTGGTACTAGTGCTGCAGCTCCTATAGCAGCCGGCCTGATAGCCCTCATGTTAGATGTACAACCCTGTCTTACATGGAGAGATATACAGTACCTCATAGCTCTCACTGCTCTCAAGGTTTGTTGATTGTCATAGAATTGTACTTTAGTTTTAGCTTTGAAAAGTTTACAGTTTATCTATGCCCCTGGAATTACATAGGAGGGCATGATATTGTTTTTGATGTCTGGTTTTCTTTTTCTGGGCACAACTTTGACTGTGGCCATAACATTTTCATAATGTAAGATTCCCTTCTTGTACTGGATGAGAGTTTCACTCATTGAAATATGACTTTTATTCCTATATATGTGTATATGACCTTGAAATTTGCTTTTCTTATATAAGAAATATTGGGCTTTTGAAACCTTGTGTTTTTTGTATCATTTATTAAGGATTACATTTTTGTTTATGATTTATAAAATACTTTTTGTGCTCATGCTCCATGAAAGACAAAATGTTTTTATGCCACCGCAGCATCTGCGATGCGGTGGCATATAGCGATTCACCTGTGTGTGTGTTTGTTTGTGTGTGTGTGTGTTATATAGATTATATAGTGAACTTAAAAAATCTTCTTGTGAAAAACCACTTGTCCAATTTCAACCAAACTTGGCAGGATTGATCCTTGGGTGAAGGACTTCCAAAGTTGTTCAAAGCATTTCATTCCATGCAGAAATCTGGTTGCCATGGCAACCAATAGGAATTATAAGAATAAATTAAAAAAATCTTCTTGTAAAGACCCAAAAGGCCTAGAGCTTAGATATTTTGCATAAGGCATTGTCTGGTAGACCTCTACCAAGATTGTTCAAATTATAACCCTGGGGTCAAAATCGGCCCCGCCCCGGGGGTCATTGATTTTCACTATATGTACATATAGTAAAAACTTAAAATAACTTCTTGTAAAGACCCAAAAGGCCTAGAGCTTAGATATTTTGTATAAGGCATTGTCTGGTAGACCTCTACCAAGATTATTCAAATTATAACCCTGGGGTCAAAATCGGCCCCGCCCCGGGGGTCATTGATTTTCACTATATGTACATATAGTAAAAACTTAAAATAACTTCTTGTAAAGACCCAAAAGGCCTAGAGCTTAGATTTTTTGCATAAGGCATTGTCTGATAGACCCTTACCAAGATTGTTCAAATTATAGCCCTGGGGTCAAAATCGGCCCCGCCCCGGGGGTCATTGATTTTCACTATATGTACATACCGGTATAGTAAAAACTTAAAATACCTTCTTGTAAAGACCCAAAAGGCCTAGAGCTTAGATATTTTGCATAAGGCATTGTCTGGTAGACCTCTACTCAGATTGTTCAAATTATAGCCCTGGGTCAAAATCGTACCTGCCCCGGGGGTCATTGGTTTTCCTTATATGTATATAGTAAAAACTTTATAGTAAAAAAATTTCTTCTAGCAAATGCTAGAGGTTAAATATTTTGCATGAAACATTGTGAAGTGAACTTCTAGCAAGATTGTTCAAATTATAGCCCTGGGGTCAAAATTGCCCCTGCCCCGGGGTCATTGATTTTCAATATATACATATAGTAAAAAGTAAAAAAATCTTATTGTCTTAAGGTACAAGGCTTAGAGCTTGAATATTTGTTAAATGATATCATCTATAGGTACTCTACCAAAGTTGTTCAAATTTTGCCTCTTGTGTCAAAATTAGCCCCGCCCCATGGGCCATAGGTTTTCCTTATATGTATATAGTAAAAACTTAAAAAATCATCTTCTCTAAATTCACAAAGGCTAGAGTTGAGATATTTTGCATGAAACATTATGTAGTGAACCTCTAGCAAGATTGTACACATTATAGCCCTGGGGTCAAAATTGGTCCCACCCCCAGGAGTCATTGATTTTCACTATGTACATATGGTAAAAAAAAAAAAGAAATATTTTTGTCTGAAGGTACAAGGCATAGAGCTTTGATGTTTGCTCTACAATATATTCTATGGGTTCTCTACTAAAGTTGTTTTAATTATGCCCCTAGTGTTAAAATTGGCCCTGCCCAGGGGCAGTGATTCTCATTATGTTCAAATAGTAAAAACAGAAAATAAAACAAATCTTTTCTGAATGGGAGAAAGCTACAGCTTAGATATTTGACTTGAAATGTTGTTTGGTGGACCTGTATCAAGATTGTTTTGAATTAAACCCTTGGGTCCAAAATTTTGCCTTGCCCAAGGGGACAGTGACCTACTGTCTTGTCCTTTGATGTACAGCAATGAAATTTTGACCATGTGCACAGTTTTAGTTGTAAAATTGAACTTTGATATCAGGTGAACTAGATTTCGATGATGTGACCTACTTTCTTGTCCTTTGATGTACAGCTATGAAATTTGAACCATGTGTACAGATTAAGATGTTAAGTGAACTTTGATTTCAGCTGACCTAGATTTTGACAAAGTGTCTTACTATGTTGTCCTTTGATGTAGTCATGAAATTTAGGCTGTGTGAAATATGACCTTCACCACCAAATTCACTAGACTCAAGTGCATTGATATATTCCTACTCTGATCTTTTATTGAGTTAACAACAGATTTAACCACTAATCTGATAATAAGAATTAGATAGGTCAGGGATCTATGCATTATGACAATCTTCAAAATTGTATAGAAACAAAGAAAATCTGTTCTGACACTACTATTTAGTGTTGTATTAATGCGGTGGCATAGCATTTTTCTCAAATGCAATCTTGTTTTTTCTATGATTTATGTTGTCAAAGTATTACAAACTATTCAGACTGAATACTAGACAACAAATGACGGTAAATTTGGGATACATGTACATCTTTTACTTATAACATGTATTGTGTTTTGTTATAACAGGTAGACATAGATGTAGCTCACTGGCAGAAGAATGGAGCGGGGCTCTGGCACTCACACAAACATGGGTTTGGTCTAATGAATGCCTGGAGGCTTGTGAATGCTGCCAAGGTAAGTTATATTGTCACAAAATCGTTACAGGGTAATTACTACCAGGCCTCGACACTAACTATTTTAGCAGGTGGTACGCCGGACCACTAGATTTGAAAGTTAGGTGGTCCTTCCAGAAGTCAGGTGGTCAGTTATCATTATTATATCTTTTTACTGCAAATGTAGAAAAAAATGTTTAAACTTTATGACAAAGATGTATTATTACATAATCTTTACAGAAAACAGATATTTTTAGATATATATTTTTCCTCTAATCAGAAAAGGGAGAGCAAGTCAGTGGGTATTTTTTCGTAGAGTTATTTGTTTATTTGTTTTTATCTCAGTCAAAAATACACAACAGAGCTTTTATTTATGTTAACTTTTATATTAAAGTGATTTCTCTCTCAACTCAAGTTAGGGAATAATGAAGCCATTTGTGTCTGTTATTTTCTTACTGTTATTCAAATATTCATTGCTGATACGCGGTACGTCTTATAATCATGATAATAACATAGCATCTTTTACAGATTAACATTTTTAATGGAACTAATAAATTATCTTATTTTTGTCTTTAAAAACAATGAAATATCTAAATTATTTAAATAATGACAACGTTATTATTTACTATAACTTATCTTATTTTTCTCACAGATTTTTAATACAGAATTTTACCTCCCTGTTGCTTGTTGGTTGATATTCATTTTTGACATTGGGTATTTTTAACCTTTTAAAATAATTTTAACTCTAGAAGAAACAGATCTCTTATTGTTAAACAGTTAAAATAAAGATAAATAGCATAGAATTACTAGATGTATTTTTTTTCCAGTTCCTTTCGTTTGCTGCCGTTATTCAAGTATCTGAAATTTAAGTTTATCTGATATCATATAATTACCATCATCGGATACTCACGGTTAATTAACATGTAACATAACATAAATGTTAACGGTTCCGTCGTTGGTATCCGACGATGCATAATTACTAGCACCATTTGAATGAATTTTGTACCTAAATTTATATCACAAACTCTTAACTCTTTTAACTTGCATAAACAAAATTTTAGCGACTTAAAATGAAAGTTATTGATGACTTAAGAACTTCTTTAACTTATCAGAGATTAATGAACCATATATATGTACATCGGACATAGATTTTAAACAAAATTGTATAGATCTAACATGTTTTTGACCAAATCGCCATTCTCCCAAATGAGCCTTGCATCAACCAGAAAATTCAAGTGGTCCGACGGACCAGTGGGTTTAAAAATTAGGTGGTCCTTGCCAAAATCAAGTGGTCTCGGACCAACGGACCACCGCTAATGTCGAGGCCTGACTACCAATAATGGATCAGAAAATGATTTTTTGAGCAAAGTTTAAACTGTATTAGTAAGAAGTTTGGCTACAAAATATTTATGAAACATGAGGGGTCTCAAGTAGTTCAGGATGCTGATTTCAAAGTGCTTGTCCTTTATATGATATAATGTAGGTTCAAATCCTGCAAGAGACTTTGGATTCTTTCATTTAAGAAAATTTTTGAGCTAGCTTACAGAATGTTTGTTTATCTACTCAAGTGCCCAATCACGCTGGAAATAATACATAGGGAGTCACCTTTTGTCTTCATTTAGGAAATAAATATCAATTTTGAGTGCTTGAGTGCATTGTTGTAGAATAATGTAGGTTCGAGTTTAAATGTGTAGGAATATGATTAATTACAAAGCATTTGAAGGTAAAATTAATATCTATCTCCAGTCTAACATAATATAATAAAAAGAAAATTGTTTAAAATTTTAGGTTGAGCTACATTAAGCATCGAAGTAATTTTCCTGATGTCATTTGGTTTATATCTGAAAATATTTCTTTTTTATGTTGTCCATTTTTTGTGTAATTATGCTTTTATTTACCCTATATGTTTGATAGGGGAAAAGTGTGAAAGCATGGTAAAGCTATATAGTCTTCATATTTCCTTCAGAGCCTCTATTTGTAATACTATACAACTGTCATCTTTGAACGAAATAAAAAATTGATTATAAAAACTGTATATACTGTAGAAAATATTAATATCCAATGAAAATCCTTGTTACAAACATGGAATATCATTTTTATTTGGTTTACAGGTATGGGACCAGGTGCCCTGGCAAACATCATTGGAGTATAGTAAGAAAAAAGTTTCAATACCAATCACTAAAGGTCGCTCTAATCCTTTACAACTTACTTATACAGGTAATATTCTTATTTCATAGGTGTCTTTATCTGAATCATTTTTCTTTATCAAGAATGAAAGGTACTTTTTGTTGTGTTTAAGTTGAGTGTAATAGTCATCATTTAAGTCTCAACCCTCTGAATTTCTTAAATGGACTTGTCCAGCTTCCATTTCTGGAACAGTCCATTATCAAATTTATTTTGGGGTATCAAGATGTAAATTCTAAGTTGGTTAGTCAATTGGATCCATTGAACAAGGGAAAAGTGATCTGCTATTGAATGTCATTATTTTGTGCACTATTGTCAAACATTTTAAAGGGAGACACAGGCAAAATTTTCATTTCTTAGTTTTGAATTTTTCATTCATTATTCTGTTAATGCCCTCAAAATGAATACTTTAGACAGTCAAAGGAACAATACTTTTCTCCATATAAAGAATAAAATGGTGGTTTCCTAACTTGACCCGCGTGGGTCAGGTTAGAGCGCTAGCATTTCACAATAATTGTCAAAGTGAACTCTGGAAAAGTTAAAAAACATGTCAAATGAATGACTTAGGCTTGTTTCAATCATACAATATCCACAATATCTGTTATTGTAACTTCAAGGGTTTGTTTAAGTCACATGACTTGTTTAAAAACTATCTGGTGGTTCTATTTGAGTCTAAATTTTGTTCAATATAATGTAGATATATTTACGCTTCAAACCCAAAATATAAAGAATTTAGACAGAAATTTTATGCTGAAACTTCCAGAAAAGTCATTTTAGCGTGATATGAGTACAAAAGATCATTTTAATATTTTTGTCATTATTTTGCCTGAATATCCCTTTAAAGAAAAATTCATTAATGCTTGATTGTTAAGAATGCTTGAAGCTGATATAAACCATTTGCAAATGCTTCCTGGACCTAACTAATACTGGTGTCATAATTATGAGGAGTCATGGCTATGATCTTAGTAGAGTTTGAACCTGTGACCCCTGGGTTGAGAGGTAGACATCTTAACCATATCTCTAGGGCTCCTCTTGGACTTAGTTTTTACAGTCTGTTTCAATTCAGATGCTAGTTTATTGTTTTGACAATATTCCTAAACAAGAACCAAATATATTCCAAAAAGAAATTTGATAGTTAACCTAGGCTTATTTTATTTGTATACAACATTGTACAAATTTGTTAGCTTGATTATGTTACTGGATTTTACTTAATAGATTTACTCTGGAATTAAGAATATTTGTGTTTTTCCCAGCTAATCCGTTGGTACACACATCGTTTTACAGTTACAGCCTCGAAAATAAGTGCAATAGGTTGTCTAATCTAATGTTATGGGCAGTGCACTTTGAAGCTATTGTTGTAAAAGATTGTTTGTACCTACAGATTATCTGGGGAAAAACCCACATTTGTTGAGTTCCGGATAACATCTATTTTGACCTGTCAACAGTATTAATATGGTTTCATTTCACTTTTTGTTTGTTTCTCAACAGTGACAGAGTCAAATGCCAATGGATTTGACCTATATATACTAGAAACTGTGCAAGTGACCTTGACCTTGGATCATCCATGCAGGGGTTTTCTAGACTTCAGAGTGAAGAGTCCTCATGGTACAATGTCTGTGATTGGTGCATCTAGACCACATGATGAGTATGTATAACATACATGTAATACTATTTATAGATAAGTTAATTGCCTCTTCTAGCAGTGTTCAGAATTGGCATAGTGCTAAATTTGTAGCACACTTTGACAACAAATCTAGGAAATGCTTGTTTGATTGCCAGCTTCTTCAACGAAAAATTACTAACAAGTATTTCGATAGGGACTTTAAAAACTAAAGTACTATATAATTGTGTTTAACACCTTAAATGTAAAGGAAACTGTTGTTTCTGAATTGAAGTAATTTCTGTATCAGTTGGCTCCAAAATATAATCAAAGTGCTGCAGCACTGAATGCGACGGACATGCAACCGGAGAGACATTAAGGCTTTTTTTAGAAAAAACAAAACAAAAACAAAACACAAAATATATAACAGAGAAAATTTGTTCCATACAAGTTCGAGATTTATAGAGCAGTTTCTGAATTGAAGTAATTTCTGTATCAGTTGGCTCCAAAATATAATCAAAAGTGCTGCAGCACTGAATGCGACGGACATGCAACCGGAGAGACATTAAGGCTTTTTTTAGAAAAAACAAAACAAAACACAAAATATATAACAGAGAAAATTTGTTCCATACAAGTTCGAGATTTGTAGAGCAATATATTTTGTGTCCCAAACTGATATAATTCAGATTTTCTACTTTCAAGCACTTAAATACAGAATGAAATTTATGCCTAAAAACTCTGGTCAAACTTGTATATCAGTGTCCTTATCGATTTATTCCAAGAAATGAAAGGTAAAAAGAGAAAGAAAAAATACGGTCAACGAAATATTTCTGAAATAAAACCATGCAAATAAACTTCAAGCATAATACATTATACATTTGAGAATGCTATTTAGAATTGCTTCGTGTTTTATCATAGTGGCCATATAGAAAATAAAATATAAGTCATTTGTATTTTTATTTCTCTTGGATATGTCTCATTAAAAAAGTTTTAGTTAAAATCATCAGCAATTAATAGATCTAGTGTATATTTTAGATTTTTTTTATTTACAAGGTAAAGATGTAGAGGCCAGAGCACATCGTTTTTATTTTAATTTAAATGTCACTTAAAGTTACATTAAATAATATGTAAAAATATTTTGCCGTCGGCCTAAAAATCAAACATTCTACAGTTTCATTAACCTGTTTAAAAGTTTTGTTGTAAATCTCATCAAATATTGTTCATAAAGTAGGATGTTAAACGGGAAACCCCACGGTAACACTAAAGTTTGTATACGAATTTTAACATGCAAATGAAGACTATAATGAGCTCGTGTATGCGCTACGTCACAGTTTCATAGTTGCTATCCGGAACACAGCAAATGTGATATTTTCTTGTGCAAACACACTTTAACCGTTTAAGCTTCACTGTGCACTAAACCTGGGGTTCAGTAAAATTAATCATCTCGTAAAAAGATTATATTTGTATGAAAACATCCGTTAAGATGCGGAAATATACCGTTAAATTAGGACTGCAACTTATAGTCATGTTTGTTGATTTAATACTGATGTACGGATGATCCGAGGCGGAGTTTCTTATGCAAACAGAAATTGTACTTCCCATTTCGCCACAATGAGGTTACCTATTTTTATGCTAATAAAACTCATTTTGGTTGTTTGGACACTAAAATAAGACCTGGAGTCGATATAAAACCCAATTTAATAATGAAATGTCGCTATTTCGTTTTTTATGAAATTTATTAAATGTAACTTTAAGCACTACTGGTAATAGATATACGATTGCTGCGTTGACCTTTCTTATGCCTTAACCTCACGAGACGAAGTCGAGTGAGGTTGCATAAGAAAGGTCACGTGATTATGGTATAATTTACGCAAACCCAGAAATAGTCAACGCACCAATGGTGTATCTGTTTTAACCTATAGCTCCGCCCAGAAACACTTACTCCTTCGATCTTCAAAACTGAAAATTATACCATAGTCTGGGTATGGTATAATTTACGGTTATTGGAAATTATACTTGGAAGAATTTTACATAAGAAGCGCTGAAGAGCTATAGGTTAATGTTTAGTTGTCCTTTTCAATTTCACACTAAATTCCATTTTCAACTTGTTTGCTTCTTACAATTGTATAGAATTTCTTAAAGTATTGCATGTAATCCGCTGGTTTATTACATGTATAATGTGTACTCCCTTATCGCCTGTCCAAAAATCAGGCCAGGTGAAGCAGAATCTATTTTTAGAATAACGTGACCTAGAAAAATATGTAAACAAACCACAAGAATCGGAAGTAGAACTGATATTATAACTTCCTCACCATGAAAGACTACATGGTGGTGAAGTGTTGAAAAACTCTCTTCTTACATGCATTTTCAAAAATAGATATTTATACTAACCATTGTACTGTATCTAATTTATTAATAACTGCTGAATATTCAGCTAAACCCGCGGAAGAGTAACGAAAATAGTTCTTCTTTTATTAATGCGCGAGTTATCCTAGAGTCACGAAAAACTTTTGATTTGTTAATAATAATGTTTTGTATAAAGTAGAAATATTTATTTCCTACTAATAATGTCTTGGAACTCAGAGCTTACACCTTTATTGTAGTATAATTTGCTGTCCTACTTTTTCGACAGCGGTAAATCGTTTCGGCAGTAATTTGCATATTGCGCAATAATACTACGGGACTACAACGTTTTAATCAATAATATACGTTCATATTTTAACTTGGATAACTTAATTTGAAATTGAAAAGGCTAAATATGGAAGATTTTAAGATATCCCGACAAAGTATGGGAGTTTTGAAAGATCAAATTCATGTACTATTTCTTGGGCTGTTAATCGGTTTAGGACACTTTGCGCGATTGTAGCCGACGAAATCCCATCTGTAGATGACTTAGCTCTGAACGCACCTGAGGGCGTGTCCGTCGCAAAAATACTAACTATCTTCTGGAGAAGGCCAATATAGGTTTCTATAGGTGACTATAAATAAATGTATGTCTTACCATAATAAAACCACCACCTCAGTCTGGCATTATGGGGACAGACATATGGTAAAACCTTTACTCATTTCTTCACCATCTCCATTATCAGACCTTCCTCAATGGGGGATTGGTTACAATACAATTTCAAGAATTTTACTTTATACACATAAACAGTTAAATAAAAATCTATTTTAAAATGGTGGAATAATTTTATTAGGGTATTTATTTGTGAAGTAAATGTTGTTATATACATCATAGTAATAATTAAAATAGTTAAAAATATGTACATGAAAGTGTAAAACGATTCATTGATAACACACATATCATTGCACTAATTTAAACCATTGTTTTTGTACAAATTTAATTAAATTTGTAATAGATCATTCATTTGTTGATTAATTTGATTGTTACAGCTCACCTAATGGATTTGACAAGTGGACATTTTCTACTGTTAGATGTTGGGGGGAGTCGCCCATTGGTGAATGGACAATTTTCATCAGAGATTCGGGTATGTGTATATTTCATATCACTTATTTTTGACTTATATATCTTAACTCTTAAAGGCCCATTAAGACGTTAAAATATCTTAATGCTATCATTTTATATTTCTCAAAACTTTTTATTTTTGGTATCTTACTACAGTTTACAAAAACATTACTCTTTAGCCATGATAGATGAACTATCATTTGCTTCATTTGCAATAGGTATAATTATAGTGAGTTAGTACTTTGTATGGAAGTCAAATACTACTTTGTTTACATTTTGCTACCTTTACAACACATTACTGTGCATTCAACTCTACTTTCTGCAGTCGTTTAACATTTAAGCACCTTAGTTAAATTGTGTAAAAAACAGATTTTATGTTCATAGGCTTTTAGACCTCATTTGTGTTTCTTTTGTGTAAATATTTGTATTTACTGAAACTAACTGAAATAACAATTTCAGACAATGGAAAATATGGAATGGGAACACTTCGTAGCTGGACCTTGAAGTTGTTTGGTACACCTATGGCACCTAAAGAATTTAAAAGAAGGAAAAAGTAGGCTTAAAATATTTATATTATACATGTATATTCCTAAAATGTCTGACTGTATGGCCGATTTCTGCCAGGAAATACGAACGTGTTCATGTGAGGAAGCTATTCAGTGAGCTAACAGAAAGGCAAGAGTTCAGCTCATGTGCTTACAAAGACCACCTGAGGTCTACCCTCGGTAAAAGTGGAAAGTCACCACATCTACTGTGTCTGTTTAACCAAACCAAAGAAAATACAAAAAATGTATATATATAGTGAATATTGACCACTTGTCACATCTGTGACATATAAACTGTGACATCACAACTGACAAGATATGAGTGTGACATGCATACTTTATATGAAAGTTGTTACTTGATTTTATTGACATAAATTGTCATTTTCAAACTTTTGATTTCTTTGGGTAAAATTTTAAAGACAAGTTATTATTTTCTGTTTTTCTTTTGACAATTAACAGTTTGGTGAATGAGGCCCTGCATGGGGGATTTCTGAACAGTACAAGCAGATGTATACCCCCTCCTGTTACCTCAAAACCTGATGAAATTATGTCAGTGAGAATACTGAAGGTAAATATAATCTTAGGCTAGTTCTTTACCATGGCATTGATTTATATAGTATTTATTTGAGTTTGATTGTGTAGGTAACTATTAGCTTATAGACACACTTTTGAATCTGTTCCTGGAACCAACCAGTACTGAGCAATGAGTGTAAAATATCTTGATCAAGGAACCAACAATTAGCCCCAAGTCTAATGTGTTAACCACTCTGCCATGCCGCCACTACTGTCCTTTCATTTCAAAGAATTGTGAACCAGCAAACTACCAGCCGTTCGGGCAAGTGCTTGGCAATATCTGTTAGCCCAATTAAGATTTTACAAGCTTAAAAATTATTCTTTTAAAATTGGAAAGTAAATTCAAGAATAATTACTTAAACAGTTATTTTGTAATTCTGTCCCCTGAATCAAAGATAAACTAGTTGTTCCTTTTGAAATTCAGTCATTCCACTTTTAGAAACTAAGGTGATTGACTGCAAATTTTCCACAGGTCAGGCAAGTTTCTTAGAAAATATTATGACCTTGACCCAAATTCTACTTGACATGAGGTTGTGGACTAATGCTAAATCCATGACTTATTTTGTATATTTTTGAAGAAAGATTTTCGCATCTTATGTCAATCTTTTTCTAGCCTGCTTCTTGGAACTAAGTAGAACTGTTGATATGTCATTTCCTAAGTTGATCCTTGAGCTAAGGGACATATATCTTAATCACTTTGCCACAATTGACCTTCTGTAAGTTTGACTGACCATTTAATTATAACAATTATATTAATTAATACAATTTTTTCTTTTCTATTAAAGGTGATCTGTATGACAGGTGCTTTATGTTTTCTGTTTGCTGTTTACGAGTCATTTGAATATTTATTCTGTTATAATGATGAGAAAAAGGAACAAACAAAGTATATGAAGTTGATGAAACGGCACGACTGGCTAAGAGCATTTTTTAAAACCCAACAATCGGAGACAACGGACTATTTAAATGAAAAAATTTCCCTATCAACTTTCCCCTTTACATCTGACCTTCGACCTGATGGTTAAAGGGTTCAACAAGTGATAAAGGTCACAGGTGGATAAAAACTCGTGGGGGTTTAGGTGCCCGAAGGAAGGGTAAAGTAAAATTTGGGTGACCTTACGGGGGTCATGGTAAAAGGGTAAAATTCGAGATTCTTTTATACAGGGGTTGTGATGTGGAAAAATACACAATGTCAGAACGGAAATTTTCAGCAAATGTTTCCATGAATTGAATGGGGGAAAAATAGTGCTCATCACTGGGGTAGTGAAATGTAACAATTCCATGAACGACCCTGAGTCTAAAGGTAAAGGGTCTTAATTAAGTGATATCTTGCAGCGTTACAGAAAAAGGTCTGAGTAAAAAGCAAACAAAAATGGGAAACCCTCTTTTACAAATTTTCTGAATTGAAACAAAATTTTTAAACCCAAACATTAAAAAATAGTAATAAAGACCTTTTTTGATTTCTTGGGGAGATTTAGCCTCATTTAAATATTTTAAATAAAAATTTTTAAACCATTTTTTCCTCTTTTTTAAATGAAATTGAAAAGGAAAACCCTTTTTTTATTTTTTTACATAAAAAATTTTGATTTCTACTTACTTTTAATTAATTTAATTTAAACTGGGGGATGTCTAAAACAAACATTTAATTTTTGGGGGTCTGAATGATAATTTGTGGTTTGACGAAATGTATTCTATTTTGTGAATAAGGAAATAACCTCCCTTCTAGGCTAATTTTGAAATTTAGGCCCTTTCCCATAAAAATTTTTCAAGCAGGGTCAAAAGTAATCCAGACGTATATAATATACTGTTCCTGTTTTCTTTTTTAGAACTTTGATACTGAATTCCCTTAACTAGAAATGAACTTTTCCCAAATTTAATTTTTTTAAGAAGGGGACAGACACATTGCAAGGTTTTTTTAACAGAAATATTTTATAAAGTTAGAAATTTTTTTGCTATTTTTATTTCTGAAAAACAATTTTTAAAATGAGAAATTTTGATACATTGGGGATGTGATTTAAAAGGTATAATTTTTGGGGTTATGAATTTTTTATGTAGCCCAATCGGGAATAGTAAAAAAAAGATAAATGATAGGTTAAAGATAAATTGCTTTAGCATTATTTTTTTTTGGTTTATTTTTAAATGATTTAAAATTTTTCATTGGGCCCTTTGCCCCCCTTTTCCTTGATTTCAACATTTTATTTTGGCCCTAAAACCTTGTTGAAAGTCTTTATAAAAAAAATATTGGGTTTTTTTAAACATAGAAATTTTAATGATTTAGCAATTCTAAAATAAGGTTTTATAGAAAAAAATAGTGTATAAAAAATTCCAAAAGTAAAAATTTTTTATGTTGAATTATGTCCTGAGGGTTTAGAGTAGTATATATGGGTTTTTGCTGAAATAAACTGGATTTTAATGTTGTAAAAATTTTTTGTTTGTAATTATATTTTTTGTTAAATCATTCATTTTTTTTTGGGTTTTTTATATTTGCATTAATTTTTTAAAAATTTAAAAAGGTTTTTGTATAAAATTTAGCTGGGTAGAAATTTAATTTAATTTTATATTTGTTTAATATAAGTATTTTAAAATCAGGCTGCTTTAAAATTTTACATTGAATAATTTAAAGAATAAATTTACATTTTTAAAACCCTCATCAAGGCCCCCTGGCTTTTTAAACCTTTCCCCGCCTTTTTACTATTTGCTTGGTTTGGAATTCAGGGTTTTTTGGGGTCATTCATGAGAAGGATTGCTGTCAGCATTGACTTATGAAAGGTAGGGTTTACTCAGGCTTATGCTGACTAAATATTGTACAAAGAGGCACCTAATGTCTTTCTTCACCCAATAAAGCTGAAAATTATTGAATAATGTCAGTGGTTTTAAAACACAGCAAATATATAAAAAAAAAAAAACATCACAAACTATGAGGGAAAAAGTTAGCAGGTATGAAATTTAGTGAAAAGTTATAATTATGTTTAAATTATGTCAGTAATAAGATGGCAAGAGTCTTCTCTTAGAGCATTGGTACGAAAATTGTCTTATATGCGCAAAAATAAGTTAGATGTCAGTAGTGGGGGGTTGATTAAATTGCATGTCTTGCTAGATTTAAGTGTAGTCTCCGGGTTTAAAAGCTGCATGACTTGAAATGATTGAACAAATTTTCAAATAAACAACAGTCAAACTGATTAATTGAAAAGGTACTAACAGTGAATAAGATGTGTAAAACTATTCAAAATAGTTAATAGCTTTTCAAGAAATGTTTGGCAAATATGACAGTATTTATTATAATTAAGTGTTTAGTTGTTTTCGTACGAAACATATTTGACAAGTTAAATAGACTGAATGCTTATCATGAGAACAAGAGTGTGAGTTTGTTAAGAGCAAGGGGAATAAATTGTCTGAAAGCAATTAATGTTTGGAGTATGGCGCTTTTAAACTTTTTTTTAAATTAAACATAGCATTTACGGCTGCGTATTAGTGGTGTTCTCTTCAGTATAATTTTTATCATTACACACTCTTGTCTACACTACACCGCTTATAACTAGTAGTAAGCATGACTTCTTTTGCATATTTAATATATATTATGTCAGTTTTGGTAAGATAGCAATTGCAATAATATGAATTTGCCTTTGCAGACCTGGGTTACCCTATGTTTTAATAGCGCACAACATAAAAAAAGCATAAAATTGCTGGTAAATTTTGAGACTTTTACAGGACCCCATTCTTACTTAACTTTTTTTTAGAAGGTTTGACAAATGTATCTTTTCATCTTCCTTTCATGTATCTCTTGATCTTATTTCTGTATTGTTCTATTATTATCACATTCTATCGTTGGCTGTTAGCCACATAAAGGGTAAGAAAAAATGAGCTAACAGGGGTCTGAGAAAAATGCTTGATTTCTCCATCATTACATTCATATTCCTGTAATGGTATATTTGGCTTCTTTTATTTTGTGTGCTTGTACAAAACTCAGTCTATATTTTTTGTTTTGTGGTGTTACTTTTAAATGTGTTTCTTTGTGGATTTCCTGCAGAAAAAGCTGATTTCAGAGTCCTGGGATGATAATGTTAGTAGAGCAACTTTTGAAAATTTGTTTTTATATTATATTATGATATCCATCACGCGTCATTTTTAGTACAGTAATATGAAAAATATAAAAAATCGCTATTGGAAAATTTATAGTGAGTAGGTTAATCCTTTACTGGCTTGCTTAATAAAAACGGTTAATAACGTATAATTTTTCTGTAATCCACCCAAGCTATTTGCTTGTTGCTTATAGCATAATTATCAATTTGAATTGTAGAGATGTCCTTACATTATTGCGAATCTAAAATTTGTCCTTAATTGTGTTTTATGTCCAGAAGTTGCTAGGTTAAGAGCCTGGAATAGATAACACAAGTTTTATTTACTAAAAATTTGATCTGTGAGATTAATGTTTAGTTATTCAATTGATCTTTCATATAGAACCAACACATGTCGTACTTGTATCTATGTATTTAATGATTTAATTTGGTTAATTTGTTGGATGAATAAGTGCCTTTACCTAATTAAGTTTTATTTTTTGTTTTTGGTGTTATTTAAATCTGGTTCATATTTTGTTGGTGTTAAGTATTGGCAATGTGAGCGTAAGTAGAGTTTAGATTTTTGCATATTTCTCAAATTTGGGATTTTTTTTTTCATTTTGTTGTTTTAATTGATTAGTTTTGTTATTACACTTTCTTTTTTGTGGTTTCTTTTCGAGAAGACGTCATTCAGTCTATTTCGACACATTTTTTTTTGATTGTGTTTGCTTGTCTTCTAAAAAATTTTATTTTTGTGTTTTATACATTTTTGCATATAGACATCTTAATTCTTATGTCTCATATTATGTTTAAACACTTAAAATAATGCCTTGAATTTAATATTACTGATCTATTTTTCTCTAATATTTATTGTGTAGATATGTAGTATATTTAAAATTAATATATCTTAATTAACTATTGTTGCAAAAGATATACTTCAATTATTTACACAATACATGGTAGTAATAGTTTAGATATGAATATCTTATGATTTTTTACAGTGATTTAAGTTATTGTTAGATTCTATTAATTGTGTCTGATTTAATTTTTGATAAAATCTTGTCTGTAAATGTACATCATAAATATGAAAGTACAGTTTGAGATTTAGAATAAATTTCCGTTTATTTATCTTCTAATTGTATATTAATTGTAGGGATTTTTTTTTTTCATTTATCTTATAATGAAATATTATGATTATCGTTGAACCTCATGTGTCTTCATTGAGTTTATTTTTTTGGGAGTATTTTTTGTGTATACAAATTTGAAATGCAATAGTAAAAATTTGCTTGCCCATGATCGGTAATTTTGGTAGAACTGATAAAAGGACAAAATCGCAGTACGTATACTGGAACTAAATTTCTAACATCAATCGGTTTAAAAAAAGCATAAATTACAAAACGATTAATTTACATTACATCGTAATAATAAATGTATATATATCGATCAGATCTGGTGTACTTAAAAAAGAAAAGATCTTATCGTAGACAAAAGTAAATTAATTATAGAAATATTACTTCAAGAAATAATTATACATTAAAAATCATATTTGTTGTGCTATTCTTTCAGCCCGATTTGGAACAATTTCTGGGTCTTCGTTCTACACATTTTAAGACTAGTTTTTAGGATTAGAATTGAATTTCTGGGGGAGAAATGGCAGGGAAGCAATTATCTGTAAGTTTTCTCCTCACAGCAGAGATTCATTTTTAATTGACCTAAAGATCTACATATTCTAAAAAATGAAACTTATGCGAAAAAAGTGTATCTCCAATCCCTGTCATGTCAAAAAAACATCAGTTGAGAGAGTTCCCTTTATTCAATGAATTACTTACTCTCATGATAAGAGTCAATACACGCATACATTATATAAAAGTACATGAAATGTCCCATGAAATGAATGTACTAATATCTAAAAATTTCACAACCATAATTTGATTTTCATATTCATGCAACATGAATAATGTAAAATGGTT